TACATAAATGTGCAAAGCCCTTTCACACCCATTAGCTGAGCAAGCAGATCAAGGTCCTGGCCTCAGATGGACCGCAGACCTTCCCTTTGACCTTCATCCATCCCCTGTCCTCTCTGGCTGTCAAGAATGGGGCGCTGCTGTAACAAAAGCCTAAAATACAGGAGTGGCTTTGGCACTGGGCAGCGGGCGGGGGCTGGAAGGACTTTGTAGAGCCTGGTAGAGTTTGCCTTGAACAAATTATTAGTCAACATCTAAACCGAGAGAAGCCTGCCAGTGAGGGCTTAAAGAAAAGTGAGGAACGTGTTATCGGAAAAATGGACGAGAGGGGGTTTTTGAGGTGTAGTGGCTGAATGTTTGGCAACACTGCCACCTGCAGTTGTGTGGAAAGTAGAAAATGTAGCTAGGGAACGATGCGATCTGGCTAAGAAGATTTCCGGCCAGATGTCGAAGGGGTTGCCTAATTTCTTCTTGCTACTTGTTGTAAAAGGCGAGAGGAGAGAGAAGCTAAAGGAATAAATGTTAAATGTGAGGAGCTTGGACTTGAGGTCTTGAAAATTCTCAGCCTCCCTGGGAATTAACTTTACCCCTAAAGAGCTTTGGCCTTTGTCCTGGCTCCTGGGAGGCTCCCTGAGTGACAGGCGTGTCGTTGTGGCTCGTGACCAGCTCCTTTGACCAGGCCTCACAGTTTATGTTAACAGGATGATTCAGGATGGGGACTGGCCATGCCAGAAAAAGGCCAACCATGTGCTTAAAGGGTTGGTGCTTCGGGCCATGTGAAATCAGCCCGACCTCCAAGGAAAGTGTGTGTGCTGGGGAAGGAAGAGAGGGTGATCGAATTCAACTTCATGGGCAAGAGCTCAATCAATCGTGCCCAAACAATGAAACCTCAATAAAAACTCTGGACACCAAAGCTTGGGCGAACCTCCTGGAGTGGCAATGCTCCATGTACACGTTACCACACGTCAACGACAAGAGGGTACCACGTCCCTGAGGACATGGAAGCTTTGTATTTGTGACCTTCCCAGACCCAGATTCCAACCTATTCATCTCTTCCTTGGGCTATAACGTTCATTTCGCTATGATACAACTGTAATCATAAGTACAGTGCTTTCCTAAGTTCTATGACTGGTCCCAATGTGATATTAAACCCGAGGGACTCTCTGATGTCTATTCTGCTAGCTGGAAGTGAGGGTGGCCCTGGGGACTGATGAACTTGGGCAGACTTAGCAGTCTGGACGATTGTGCCCTTCGCCTTGGGTTTGGCTGACTGTGGGAACTCCCCAAATGGCAAATGATACTAAATTATAAAATGATTTCTGAGCAAAGAAGGGCACTCTCAGGAAAGCATGGAATAAAGACAAAGCCCCGGCTGTGACTATAAACTTCCTTGTTGAGACCTCAGAAAGATCATAGGTGGTGCCTAGAACACCCACTGGTCAGGCAAATGAGGCTCTAGAGTTTAAGGATGTGTCTCACAGACCTTCTCGAACAATAGGATTCTATTAAGCTCAGGGCACTGTCACTCAGCCATCTCAACAGAAGCCCAAGGTAGACAAGGGTTTATTTCAATGAGATTTGTGTGTGTGTGTGTGTGTGTGTGTGTGTGTGTGACATTTGTTTAATGGTGTTAACTCCAGAGAGATTCGCATAAGACCCACAGACTTGTTTTTAAAGAGAATTCAACGAACAGAAACATTGCCAGCTCGGACTGAGAAGGACAAAGATGGCACGAAATGAAAAGAGATCTTTGGACCACCAAACTTCTATAAGCAGAAAGCAGGTTATGAAAACACACGTCACTTTTTTTGAAAAAGGAAGGAAGAGACCAGAGGGCAGAGCCAAGAACCGCAAATAAAAACTCCTGAGAAGTAGTAGGAATCAGTTCTGATCCAAGAACTTCCCATAGTTGCCCAACTGGATTTCAAAACTGCTATGGACCAGTGACGCCCATGAGCTCTCCTTTCCCCCTTTTGTTTTGAATAGGAGTACATGGGGCTGAATTCTATGCCTCTCCCGCCACTGTATGTTGGGCATGTGGGTGGCAGATAACTTGTCTCTAGTTCACAGGCCAACAGATCGAGAGGGACTATATTCGAGGAGCCTCACTGCACCCAGATCTGACTCAGGTGAGGTTCTGGACTTCAAGAGGAGGCTGTAATAGGAAGAGACCTTTGGAGGCCTCGGGAGCAAGGGAATGTGTTTTGCATGAGGGAGAGACATGCATCCTTGGCAGCCCCTGTGATCCTTGCCTTTCGGTGTTCACGCTCATCTGTGGTTCCCTTCCACACTGCACTAGGGTTGGTCTTCCATCTCGGGCCCACTACCTCCGTCTCTTGGATTAGTTGCCTTAGGGGAAGCCAGCTGCCATGGTGTAATGACACAGAGGCGGCCTATGTAGAAGCCCACGCGGTGAGGAACTGAGGCCAGCCAAAGCAGTGAGGGACCGAAGCCTGCCGATGACCATGTGGATGAGTTTGCAAGGGAACCCTCTAGCCCCAGATGACCGTAGCCCTGACTGAGAGCTTGATTTCAAGATCACAAAATCAAGCAGCTCAGCTGCTTGATTCCTGACACTCAGAAACTGTGTGACATAATTAATGCTAATCGTTTAAAGGTGCCGCGTTTTGGAGTCATTTGTTATGCAGCAATAGATAACTAATACATCATGCCACTGTCATTTATCTACTCACTCAATCAATAATTCAAACATTATCCATCCATCTGTCATCATCCAGTCAATGAACCAACGTTCTATTTATCCAACTACTCATCCAAACACCAATCATCCATCCCTTCATCTATCCAAGTATCTGTCTAAATATCACCTATCCATCTATTTGCCACCACCCACCTAATGAGTCTGTCCGTCCGTCTGTCTTTCCATCCGTCCATCCATCCACCCACCCACCCACCCATTCTTTTACCATCCTACTACCTTTCTCTAAAGCCCAGATATGTCAGCCCCCAGAACACAGAGATGAAGATGATCCCTTTGATGCCAGCCCTTACCTGAGCTATACCTAGATCTGTCTCTACTGCTTCAAGGTCTTTTCCAGAAGCCAAGACTTTGTGTGCATTCTCCACATTCACAAGAGGCTCATCTGGAAGATCAGCCTGTACAGTAGAGACAGAGTAGAGACTTAAGGAAATTGCGAACCTGGGCGATGTCAACAGTAAGACAGCCTAGACATTTGAACTCAGGGATAGAGTTCAATGTCAATGTCAGACAGCTGGGACACCACAGGCGTCAAATAGCAAGTGCAAATGAGTTCTGAACCTGGGCGTTCAAAAGTCAGAGTGTCTGGCTAGAGATCGAAAGGACAAACATCAAAGGCTTGAAAACCAAAGCCTGAGGCCAAGACATGCCAGCCCTCTGAGATTAAAGGTCTTGGAGTCTGGGGTAAATGATGCAGAATGTGGACATCCCAGAGGGAAAGCATGAGGTCAAAGGTCACGGTCTAGTTCTCTAGCAGAAAGAAGATATTGGGGGATGGGGAGACATAGGGTAGGGATGAGGAAAGTCAACACCAGATAATACAGGCCCCTGAGTCACAGGTCAGACTGCCTGGACTCAAGTCAAAATAGTAACTACTATGGTCTATTGAGCACCTACTAGGTGCCAGGCTCCTACTAAGTGCTTCCCATGAATGGTCTCATTGAACCCTCACAAAAGCCAATGAGGTGGCTGGCTCCTTGCTATTATCCTAATATTACAGGTGGAGAAACTCACGCCCCATCTGTCCGGGGTAACACAGCTGGTAAGTAGCAGGTTCAGGATGTGAATGCAGGTTTTTGTAATTTAAGATATTAGATATTCTTGACTCTTAGAAGTCAAAGTTCAGAGATCCTGAATGCTTGGTCACAAAGCAGGCAGGGGCCCCATGACAGTCCCAAACATTCCAGGATTTGGTCCAATAACAGTGGAAGAATCTGGAATCTAGGTCTTAAAGGAACCCCAGATCCCATCTCATCCCAATATTCCCACTGTACAGATGGAGAAACCAGGCCCAGAGAATAGCAAGGTCCAAGCCGAAGGCCAGAGCAGCCCAGATCCCGAGGACTCAAGTGGGAGGGCCCGCTTACCGGAAGAGGACTTCGAGGGCGCCGTGTGGCTGGGGGTGCACTGGGGGTAGCAGCTACTGAAGTCCCATCTAGGATAGGTGCCAGGAGGCGGCGGAGGTCAGGGCTACAGAAACGGCGGGGGTCAGCGGCCAGGGCGGCCTCGCTCAGGGCAGGAGGGTGAAGGAAAGCCAGGATCCGGGGACCAGAGGCATCTGCAGGACATGTGGAGATGGGGAGGACACAGGATGGTCACCCAGGGCTGAGGGGCAGAGCCCTCCACGTTGACCCCAGGGGACATAGTTGGCATTTCCAACAACAACTAATCAGGGTGGACACCATTCAGAGTGCTGGGAGCTGGGTCCTGGAGAATCCCGCTGGGCCAGGTGCTATCCCTTTGGGTGCCAGATTGTGGTGAGCCCCTGGAGGGTCCTATGGGTGGGGGGGACAATGTGGGGCGGGAAGCACACAGTAGGCTTGGGACAGTAGCAACTGCCCAGTGGTGGGGAAATATTTTAATATTTAACATCAATACAGCTGGACCAGGGCACACGACTGACCCGATTTTTCCAGCAGCATAGAATAGCACTCGGCTATTTGGCCTGTATGTTAGGGGAAAAGACCGACTCGAGGCCATCAAGGAGTTTCTAAGGCCCCTGCAGGTCAAGACGTGGCCCTGAGCCAGTTCTGAGCCAGAAAAAGAAAAGATACGGGTGACCCCAGACCACAGCCAGGAGCACATGGGCTGCCAGCAACCGCTTAGAGACAGTGAGACCTTGAAGAACAAACAGGGAGGGAAGCTTGTCCAGGATTAGGAGAGAAGTAAGAGGTAGAAAGCAAGCAGACTCGGGAGGGTTAGGATTATTGGACACCAAAGAGCAGTGAGGTGGGACCGGGGAATAAACCGAAGGCCGGGGCAATGGGGAGCCACAGCAGGATTCAGAGCAGAGCACTACGAGACCGAAGCGATCATCCCAGGGACGCAGGAGAAGAGGGAGGACAGAAGAAGCAACGAGGGCATTCTGGGCAGAGGAAGCTGCACGTGCAAAGGCCCTGAGGCATGACAGAGTCTGACACGGTCCAAGAACACTGAGGAAGCCGGTGTGGTTCAGAGACTCAGAGAAGGGTCAGGCCGGAGTCAGGGCACACAGAGTGAGCCGCGTTGAGGCACCTGGGTTATCCGCGAACCGTCCAGGGCGCACAACCCCTCCCAGCCCCAGCCCTGCCCCATACCAAGGCTGCTCCCAGGATTCGGGGCTTCCTTCTGAGAGAGGGCGCCCCTCTGAGTGAGTCTGCGAGAGTGTCGCTCCGTTTGCTCCAGCGACAGCACCACTCCGGTCTCTTCCACCAGGCTGGGGTACAGAGCAGAAAGGGGAGTGGGGGTCAGGGAGGGACCTCGGCCCCCCACCCGGGCAGTGTCCCCTCACAGCAGGCCGTCCCATCCGGGGGCAGGAGGGCACTGCGTACACAATTTGCCACGTTCACGCGTTTCTTTTAAGGATTTAATTTTTGTTGAATGCTTTTTATTATAATAGCGTTTAAAGGAAAGTTAAGCGTGTCTTCCCACGCTCCCTCTGTGGAAGGAAAGACAGAAAAAGAGCTGGCATTTAGTTCGGCCCGAGAGGGGAGACCGGGGGTGGGGAACTGAGGGGCAGAGGAGAGGGGAAAGTTAACAGGAGTGAAAATGAAATAATCTTTTTATAGATCTTTCCTTACGAATATGTTCATACAGATATATTAATGAAGAATATATATTTAACATTCTTATGTTACCAAATATGAAGAATTCATAGGGATATATTTTAATGAACAAGATTTTATTTATAAAGATTCTATTCATAGACATTTTTCATATTCAAGGGAATGGATTTATAAATATATCCTTCTTCCATCCTGGTGCCTCCCCCTCCCTCTCTCCCGGTGTCTAGCGGCAGAGACAATCCAAATGTTTACTGAGCAAATTGACTCTTGGAGGATCTGTCTGGGGCTGAGGATGAGGCCCCTCATTTGCATATCATTTACATAACATTATCCAGGACTGAATGTGGGTGGTCCTCCCCACCAGCTCTTTGAGAAGCTACGATCCATTCCCACCTTCTGGGCTGGAAGTAACCCAATTTAGGCCGGGCCAAAGCCACCCCATCCCCTTTGAAAGATATCAGCATACAGTCACACATGTACACACACGCGGTGTACACAGGCACAAACAGGAACACTCGTATACACCCAAGGGGTATACATGGACAGATATGCATGCATACGCCACACACTGGGGCTAGCACATATGCCTACCCGCCACATGGGGTTCACTCATTCAGTCACTCCACAAACATTCCCTGCACAACCAGTGCTTCTCAGTAGTTAGGAGCGAGGGCTCTGCAGCCAGCAGCCGAGGTTCAAATCCCGGCTCGGCAACTCATGAGCTATGTGATCGTGAGCATGTGCCTGAACCTCTCTGGGCCTCATTTTCCTCTCCTCTAAGGAGGGCATAATAATACCTCCTCCCCAGGTTGTTACGCAATTTAAATGAGTTAATATATATACAATAGATAGAACTGCCTGACACGTGGACCGCTCTATGTAAGTAGTGTCTATTATTGTTTATTGAGCAACTACTATATGCCAGGCACTGTTCTAGGCACTGAAGATTCAGCAGTGCTCTGGATAGGTGAGTTTTACTTTTATGAAGCAATTGCACACGTACTCAGGCACAGAAGGGGCAGGGGTTGGACAAAGTATAAGCACCTGAACACACACAAATGGCCACACAGCCGCACACTATACAACATGTACACAGCACTGAGGATGACTGATACCATATGCTCCTCATTTTGCTGTTGCTAAGTAAACGCCTATCATTCTTCACCTATTTTCTGTCAGTAAAATTGAACTCTCCAGGCCTGCCCTTTGCTTATTGAGCAAAAGATTGAAATCCCAGGGCCTGGCCATAAAAAGTCCAATCTTCCAGAAGAGATAGGGGCGGGTCCCCGCTCCTTTGCAGGGACAATGGAGAGACAGACCTCCTTCCAGGTCTACAAGCTATTCCAAGATTCTGATTCGAAAAGGTATTAAAGTAAGAACATTCAAAAGATGATTGATCTTGTTTTCTTGTGTAATAGGAAGACGTGTGAATTCTCCTGTTACCAGCTTGTTTTCTATCAGAATCTCTCCTTGATCAAAAAGACCTGGAAGATTTCCTAAGGCTATAGAAATTGATGTCACGCCCTGGAAAGTAAGTAACGTTTAGGAAAACTTGTAATTCTCTCTGTCTTATGTGATATTTTGCTGTCTTTGTCACTGTGTTGTTATAGCGGAAACTTCGAAGATGCACGGTGTGGGGTGGGGGAAGCCTGTGATTTACCGTTGCACTTCCGTCAGAATGGCTAAAATGAAAACCAAACCGGACAATACGAAACGCTGTCAGGCATACAACTGGAACCCTCATGCATTCTTCATGGGGAGGCAGAATGGCACAGCGACTTGGGAAGACAGCTGGCTAGTTTCTTCTGAAGTTAAATATACACTGACCATATGACCCATCCATTCCACTCCTAAGTGTTTACCGAAGAAAAATGGAAACATATGGTTTCACAAAGTCCTGTATGAGAATGTTTACAGTAGCTTTTTTTTTTTTTTTTGTAATCACCCAAAATAGGACACAGCCCAAAAGTCCTCCAGCTGGTAAATGGATGAACACACTGGGGTCCGTTCGTATTCAAACCACAGACTACTACTCAGCATTTAACAGGACATAGTGACACACACCGCAATGTAAAATTTAAATACATTGTGCTAAGCCAAAGAAGCCAGAATCAAAGGCTCCATACTGTAGGATCCCTCATATGTGACGTTCCAGAAAAGGCAAAATTCTAGGGTCAGAGAAGAGATCAGAGGTTGTTCTCTGAGACTGACGGTGTGTGGGGGGTTCACTATAAGAGAATTTGGAGGGGGGGCAATTAAACTATTCTATAGCTTGAGTGTGGTCATGGTTACACAATTCCATGCATTTATCAAAACTCATAGAACCATATACCAAAGAGAGTGAATTTCTAAAATGTAAATTACGCCTCAATTTTTAAAAAGCTAAAAGAGTCCCCATGAATCTGCTAGATTTCTTATTTTAACTTGAATACAGAGTCCTTTTAATTTAAATGAACAGAACACTCACCCGTGACTTTTGTGTGCACACGCAGACCTGTGTGTATGTGTGTTTGGTCACACGTGTTTCACACACATGCATGCGTATACACTCCCTCACGTACGAGTGCACAGCACACATGCATGCTTGTGTACACACACACACACACACACGTACACACACACACCTGTCCACATACATGCAGATCAGACCCAGGTACAGTCACCCCACCCGCCTCCCACTTACCTGATCAGGAAGTGGACGCAAACAATACTCTCAGACTGGGGGCCCCGGCCCCCTGACACCACTGTGGCCTGAGTCTGGGTCCACAGGTAGCCACCACTGCGCGCCAGGAAGCGATAGCGCCCCGTTACTGCCTGGCCTTTGCTCAGCACTGGGGAGGAGGATGGGGAGGGATCAGGGCCGCGGAAGAGGCAGTTGGGGTGAGGAGGTGCTGGGGGCAGGGGTTTAGGTGGGAAGGGCTCAGGGAAGACACGGTTCCTTGGGGATCGGGGAGCAGGGAGCTAGCTGGCGTTGACAGGCCTGGGGCTCAGGCTCAGGGAAACAGAACCCGAGCACGTACAGGTGTGAATGCTCTGGCCGACCGCATCTGAGTCCAGCGCGTGGATGTACTTGTAGGCAGAACAGCCGATGAGGTCATCGGGGCTGTAGCCAGCGACTTCGGCGATCCTGGAGTGGGTGCAATGGAGCCGCATCAGTTCGACTAGCCGAGGTCGAGGGTGGGTGGAGGGAAGGGGCAGGGGGACCCGGGGAAAAAGCCAGCAGGACAGGCAGAGACAGGGCTGTAAAGGAAAGAAAGCAAGAGAGTAAGAAATAGAAAAAGAGCGAGCTGTGGTAGACTGAATAATGACCCCGAAAGAGGTCCTGTCTTCATTCCCGGGTGCGTTAGTTAATTCCTGGAACCCGGGAACACCTGACCTTACACGGCAAAAGGGACTTTGCAGGTATGATTAAGGATCCTGAGGAGATTACCCTGGATTATCTGGGTGGGCCAATGTCATCACGGGGTCCTCATAAGAGGGAGGCAGGCGACCAGAGGGAGAGTGGGAGACATGATGGGGGCAGAGGTTGGAGCAATGTGCTTTGAAGACAGAAAAAGGGGCCGCGTGTCAAGGCATGTCTTCCGAAGCTGGAAAAGCCAAGGAGACGGATTCTTCGCCGGAGCCTCCAGAAGGAATGCAGGCCTTGATTTTAGCCCCATAAGACTCATTTCCTACTCCTCCCCTCCAGAACTCTGAGACGGCAACCTTGTATTTTTTGAGCGCTGCATTCATGGAAATATGTTACCGCAGCGACAGGAAACTAAAAATACCAGCGGGGAGAGAAGGTGGTACTGGGAAGAGTGAAGAAAAGAAAGCAAAAGAGAATGCGAAGAAAGAAAATCACAAAGATCAAAAAATAAAATCAAAAGTAATAATAACGACGAGGCTTAAAAACACAGGCGCTCCCAGAGCGCTTCGTACCAGGCAACTCACTGAGCGCTCAGAACGACTGCTCAAGGTACGTTCTGTTACTCGTCCGTAGGACGGATGGGGAAATAGCACAGAGAGGTGAAGTCATTTGGCGAAGGACACACAGCCAGGATTTAAGCCCAGGCAGTCTGAAGCCAGAGTCATCGGGGCGTTGGGCTGACTGCGGTACCTGACTGTAAGGACCCATTTAAGGAAAGCCACAGAAGGACAGGGAGGGAGAAGCCCAAAGAAAGAGGCAGAGAGAGAGAATCAAAAGGAAGAAGGTCCAAAGAAAGGTCAGCGAGTGAACTTGGGCAGAAAGAAAGAGGAG